CGGAGACTGCCCGGGCACCACTGGCAGCGGCAGACCAGCCACCCTCCCTCAGCCTCGCCACCCACTCAATTATTGATCGGTGTCACCGGAGACGCCGCAGGAGCGCAGCTCGGGTTACTGAGCAGGCCATGGCGCCTCCCCTTCACCGCAGAGCCCGCGATGCTGGGCCGAGCACCCTGACCGGAGCCAGTCTTAAGGGCAGGCCACGACCTCCTGAATCCTCCCCCCAGGTTTCCCTGGTTACTCCCCGACCCTTTTTTTTTTTTTTTTGTTTGAAAAATTTTCATCCAGTATTTTTTTTTTTTTTTTTGAAACCATCTGGCAACCCTCCGGGCAAGCCAGGCAGTCATCCAGGGCTGCCAGTTGGTTAGGACCAGCCCTGGCCCTTTGCTGCGGATGCCCAGCAAAGAATTCCTCTTCTAAAGGGCACCTCCATCATTTCCAGGGGCGCCCCGAGGACAGGGCAGCGGCCACACCGTGTCACACTGCCCGGGGGTCGGGGCGGGGGGGAGCAAAGGCCTGCAGGCACAGCACAGTCTGCAGATGTTCCCGCCATGCCCGGGGATGTCCATGGCCCATCCAGTTTGCACCTGCCACTTTCCACGCTGGTGCTTTGGTATTTCACAGACCTGGGCTAATCTCCTGCCGGCTTCCCTGGGGAATCAGGGAAGGCGCAGGGCACAGCGTGTGCAGTTAGAAAGTCGGCAAGCCCGGGATCTAAGGACTTCCGGGTGGAACTACATCCGTGGGGAAGGTCTCCAGTGGGTCTCCCGGAGGGTTCTGCTCCGTTCTCTCCCTGGCCATGGCAAAGTCCACGCTGAGGAGGCGGCTCCGTCTCATTCCCTCAGCAAGCTCCTGCCATGGTCCCCTCCCCTCCCCCAGCGAACAGTTTGGGCCCGATTGGCCGGCGACGTCTCTGAGCAGCCCCACTCATGCCACACTGGTTTGCACCACGTCCAAACCTGGCCCTCTAGCTCTCCCTCCTGCGCTCCCAGTGGGACTAACCCCCCGGGCTGGCCACGACTCCCAGCTGGAGATGAGTCTAAGGAGAGGCAATTCACAGCCCCACAGAGGCGCCCAGACAGAACTCTGCCTCTGTGGTTTTCTAGCTGTACAACTGGCCTGAAGACGCTGTTTCATCGATGGCGCTCAAAGCACTTTACAAAGGCAGAGCCACGGGGAGCTACAGGTGGGGAAACTGAGGAACAGCGAGCTGGGCTCACTTGCCCCAAAGGCCTGAGGAATGATTTGTGGGATTTCCAGGGCACACAACATCCTGCCCTCCACATGCCAGGGGGTTGCGGAGGGTCCCCGTTACGTAGTGCAATTTCCTCTTCTCCACCAAAGGCGCCACCTCTTTGGGGCTTGGGCTGTCACGGCAGAGCTTCCCCCGCAGCACCCCCTTGCCCACTCCCCATCTCTGAGATGGACCCTTGGTCTGACCCAGTACGGCCGTTCTTATGTTCTGATGTAGGTGGTATCATTTTAAGTTGCGAAAGAACCTCCCGCAGCTACAGGGGCCGTAAAGTTGAACTGGCAGGAAGGCTAGACCATACAGCCCTGTGACCACCCGTCACGGGCCCCTGGGGGTGGGCCGGACCGGACGTCCCGGTGTCAGGGGCTTTGTCTTGTACAGACCAACTACACCCCCTCGGTCCCCTCAAAAGTATCCCGACTGTGCACCCTGGCTCATTGGTCATCCCCAGGGCTGGCCTGAGCTATTAGTGCACCCCAGGTCCCGGGAGCGTGGCGCCCCCCCACCCCCGGACGCCCAGCACATGCGCGGCCCCGCCC